CATATATGAGGCAGAATTCATTGGAGATGACCTCCACCCACATCCTCGTTGTTCTGATGTGCTTGGCACAGCTTTGATGTTCGCCATCAGCAGAATCCCTGGGGAGACTCTGCTGTAATAAACTACAGCAGTGAGCGTACTGTAACACTCTCGCCAGCAGGAAGTCCCATCAGCCTGTTCCTCTGGTTCAGGAGGCCACTGAAACTGGATCACAACACATTACTGTACAGTATGCACACTGACCACCAGTGGTATATATCATATCCTTTCAGGATGAGAATAGTAAAAAAAAAATTTGACTTCAAAATTAGATGTCTTCATGTTACTTTCTGGGCTGAGACAAATTATCCAAATGTGTAGTCTTTCATTCTGTAATGCCACGGCCATGAAAGAAACTAATTTCTGACTGGCTGTGAGGTTTCCTTTAAGATTGCATAATGGGAAACATTAAACACAGACCTAGAGCATAGTTAGCGCTCACCGCTATTAAGGTATATTAATCTGCAAGTAACCATAGCAACAATGCTTCTAATAGAAGTGAAAGTGGCCAACCTTCTTTATTTTGCTTTCTCTCTTTCTAAGTAGCCAAAGAATACACTCAGTGGAGGTTAGTCAAAGTATTCGTATTGTGATGTAATCTGTGAAATATCGGTCACTGAGCATAATTAGTTACTTTACTTTGATTTCAACAGTTTAACGATCTCTTAAGGTGACACAATGCAAGAGTAATTAGCAGCTATACTAAAGCTCCCCCTACAGGTGGGATACATAAACTCACTCTTTTAAATACAAGTTGCGATCTGAACCTCCCAATGTTCACATCTGTAAATTATTTGACAAGCGAAATGTCTAAACCTCTATTGAAATTACTTGGCTTCTGATGATTAACTAGCAAGTCAACAACTTCACCTCCACAGCCCAACGTTAACAAGCACAAGACACAGCAAACAGTCAATAGTCTTGACTTACTCCAATAACAACAACGCTTGGTCGGAATCCATGCTGCATCCTTTGGCTCAAGCCAACAAGTGAAAGATTTTCTGATATTCACTCTTGTTTGCTTTCTTACTCGTCACTTTCTCTTTTCCTTTTCTTTGTTTCCTTCCGACAATGTCCTGGAGCTAGTTGTCTCTTATAGCTACCGGCTATCAGCGGCTCTGGTCGTTGATGCGAGCCGTATGCCGTAATGTTCCAGCGCGGTACACCAGAGTTAAATAATGCAGGCATCCAGGGAGAGCTGTGGCAATGACAGACATGTCATTCTCCCTATCATACGTTTGTGCGCCATCAAATTTATTTTGAAGCTGTTAATTTAAGGTAAAAATAATCCACCTAGTCCTGCTTTAACATGACTTTTTACTTAGTTAATCTGTTATGAAGTGCGTGATGCACATCTGTGATTTCAGATCCGTACTCCATGTTTTGAATTGCTGACATTATTTGGACTTGTTGAAAAATGGGCAAAATAACCACTTTACATAAACACCCACGCAGAGGCTTTAGGCTTAGACAATGTTCTTCTTTCGAATGGGAAATGATATGCAATAGATTTACAATCATTTAACATTCATGGTTTCACACAAAAAATGAGGAGAGTTATCAATAAAAAAAATTAAATTGTCTTACTATGAAAGTTTGATATGGACACCCATGCTATGTGACATGCAGTTTATGTGGTATATTAACAATTTCATTCCAACATTGACAGAACTGGAGTTATAAAATGTATGCATATCTACTTACTTCTTTATAAAGACTTTGAAAGTAATCTGTGCTGAGGCAGTAGAAAAACCAGAAATTTGATATTTTCAGGATTTCTTAAAATTATCCTTATGTTGTGTTCTATTAAAGCTCTGTGAGTCACACGTTCAGTTTGATGTATTTCTAATGGTTAGAGATGGTTTTAGGTATATTGTCATCTTTTGAAAAGATTTTCCAGGCATTGGAGAGGAAACACAGCCTGTGAGCATTTTAGGGGAAAGTTCTTTAGGCAGTATAGAGTGTATATTCTACATCATAAATGTGAAATTTAGTGTATAATAATTTTCTCTGAAGTCAAAACTCTTAATTCTGAATGTGAACCCATTTACTTCTAAAATATGTTTTGATTTCAACAGTGGTTTTGGCTGAATTTGCATTTGACATGCAGTTACACCAGAGGTGGGATTTCCTTCTGTTATTACCATAAAAACAGCAATAAATCTCTGTCTACAGTCGTTCAGGACTGAAGAACCATTAGTACTCCCCTCCTGCTTACAACCTAATGACATCTGCCTGTCATCACACACAACTGGTCACAACACATGCACTGTATGCAGCCACACGACGTTCAGTGAGTTCATCAAAATGCATGAATATTTATGTCTGTAGCTTTAATTATGAAGCAGAAATGACTGCGTATTGAAACTGAAGACATGTGGCTGTTTTTAACACTTTTAGATTTAGTTTTTTGTGGTAATGAAACTAAAAGATGTTACATACATAAAAGTAGACATAATAAAGATCTCAACAGAATAATAACAGTGTATCGAATGTGTGGAGATAGTTTTGAGCCAATGTAAGATAATTATTAGCCCAGTCCAGTTGGGTTTATAGGCAGAAATTAGCAAGGTGTTTGATTTTTTCATTTACAGTTGGTAATGTATATTCATAATCTTCGTAATGACAATAAATACAACATCAGGTCTTTGTGTTATAGTTTTGTTTTTTTCTATTGTTAGAATATATTCATCAAACATGCACAATAACAATTTCTTTTTTTATATTCATTTATAGAACTACACCACTGGATATAAATTCCAAAAGAAACTGATTTTGCAGTCACAGTCTAAGTTTTTGTGAAGAATGTTCGTGTTCCTCTCTAATATTTACTGACAGACCCTCCACATTATACAGCACCATACAGTTTATGCAGATGCAGACACCAGAACAGAGCTCAACCTTTGTCAGATCACAAAATTCCATATCCTGTGAAATATGGGGACGTCTCTGAACTAGCTGCCGAGGAACATGGGAGATTAGGGAGGAAAAGTGCATTAAGATGCTCCGGTTGTAAATATATACGGGGAGGGAGCGAGTGAGAGGGAGAAGGAGTGTAGGTTTTTAAGTTGCTGTCACCGGGCTGTCACCATGTCTGTCAGAACAGATCCATCACGGCTCTGACACGTCAAGCTTCACATTTGCATGGAGTGCAGCAGGAGCTTGTCCTTATTATGCATTCTGTCTCACACTAACCTCCCTCTCTCTACCAGATGAACTAACTAGCATCCGAGAGGCGTATTTTATAGGACGGCATGAGCTGGGGATGATGGAGAGCTGTTGTTGGTGTCTGACAGTGTGTGAGTGTATGTGTGTTTGCCCGTAGCTCTGAAGGCCGCCATCTTCCCAGGTGTACAATGATCAGCCATCTTGTCAGGTGAGCTGCTGCTGACTAACTATGTGTTGCTGTGGCTCTCTCTGTGCAGGGTGACAGTAACCAAGGTGATAGGGCGCTGAGGTGTGTGTGTGTGTGTGTGTGTGTGTGTGTGTGTGTGTGTGGCACAGTATGGCAGTGCATATGCAGCCAGTCCCTCAGTGAGGAAGCCTCCACTGGGACAGACACAGCTGTGGCACGGCATCGGGTTGCTAACGAGCCTTATCACACAGGCGCTAGACTGACGATACACACACACACACACAAAACACACCAATATTCACAAAACTGAGGCATGGGGGGATACAGTACACTGGTGTGTAAATCTCCCAGTCATACACATTGATAACACAAATGCATTGAAGCACACACACATGCATATGCCAAAAAACACAATATACGCACACACATACTTGAACATTGTCTCATTAACATACATACACACACTCAAACACAGCCAATTACATGCAGTTAGACATACACTCAAATCCGAATGCATGCTCCCTTATCTACATGTACATACACACTCATATAATTATTCTATATACAGTATAGATACAGTAATACAAATGAAGACACTCACCTACACTTTAATGTGCACATGCATACACCCTACAACTGGTGATGAACCCTGCACATAACACAACCACTGATGTCAACTAATACATCAGCTCAAGTGTTAATGGGAAAACTATATGACTCCAGCTCACATTCTTAAATATAATTCCAGTTTATCTACAGTGGCAGAAACATGAGACTTCAAATGTTCAGACCAGTTTGAAAACACACCTCTGGATTGGTTACACTTGAGGGAAACTGTAAAATTACTACTTAAACTGTTAATTGCAAATTTACATATCACCTTACAGCCTGGCGTCTTAGTCAAACTGACCACAATCCTGTTTTTTGCACACATTAAGTTTTCTTTAGTGATTGGGAATTATTCTAGAACTTTTAGGTTCATTCTGTGTCAGTGTTACCATCAAATAAAGTGGTTGAGACAAAGTGTTTAAAGGGATAGTTCACAGAAAATGGAAATTCAATTGTATTGTATGTGGCTGCTACACTGTTTACCCCTGAGACTCCAAATGTGTTTTGTGGACATAAACACTTCACCCACCCCTCAATCGGCAAAGTGATGAGTAGATAATAAGCTAATTTTCATTTTTCGGTGAACCATCCCTGTGTTTAAAACTCGTTTGAGATTATTAAGTATTCAATTATTATTACTGATGGCAAAAATATGGAACAAAAAATGCCACATTTTAGGTTAACTTGATTTTTAACTTTAAAATACCCTTATCTGACAATATTCCTATTTCTTCCTCCAAAATTGAGGGACCTTGAACAGAGGGTGTTATATTTTCAATAGATTATAAGGCGCTCAGAGGCAACGTGATATATGATTTAGGCGTCATAACTATTAATATAACTGACTTGAGTTTATGTCTGCCTGATGGATAAAGTCTTCATTGACAGGAGACACAAGGTTTTCACCTCACAGCAATGCACATGTGGTGTGATCATGATATAACAGAGACACACAAAAAACATTTATGTTCTTATTTGTTTTTTATTTTACGGTCACCAGATGAGCAGATACATCATTTTAGAAAACAACTTGATATTTGCAAAAAAATTATAATACAATTTTTCTCAATATAGAATATATACAGAATGAAATGTAGTCAGACTGAAATAGCATTCTGCCTCTTTGTCAGCAAGAAGAGAAAGCAGTGAGGGGTCTGAAAGGTCCTCCAAGACCAATCTCCCTAACCAATAAATATAAACTGTATATATTAATGTACGCTGTACTCAGCCAGGCATGGACGATACCAGGGCAAGTTAGTTCTCAACAATATTCCCTTAATCAGTTCTTGTACATCACTGTGCTACACACGCACACACACTCTCACACCCACGAGAAGCTTAACACACAAATGCACACAGGCCAGAGAACAAATTACAGTTGGGTTACAATAATGGGCCATCTTAACTCATGAAACAGAAAAAAGAAAGCAAAAGAATTGTGTATGGAAATCCTCCTCATTGTCCTTGATCAGGAGGGAGAAGTGGCTTTCTTGTCAAAGCTCGATGGAGCTGGCTGAGTAGCACTTGACATTTGGCCCGATTCAAACAGCCAATTCTACACAAAGCTACCGAGCTGGAAAATCTCTCCCAGTCTCATAGATCCTGTCGACTCATCTAGCTCGCTCCCTCCCATTCACTCTCTCGCCATATCTGTCTACCTTTCTTCTCTCTCTTGTTCCTATTCTCTCTCCCTTGAGTGGGACGGGTGCCAGGACAAGGATTGGCGATTGGCCCTTTTGCCCATTTTCCCCCAGGGAATAAGGAAAATAAGATGCACACGAAATCTCTTATCCACGCTGTATTGAAACAGGACAGACAATTGCACAATCACGGAACAAGCACCAGAAAAGACAACAGCAAAGTAAAACTGGACAGGGTGGGTAATGCTTGTTAAAGGGGGATGCTTGAAGGACACTGTAAGCACACCGCTTGCCAGCCGCTTTACCTTGTCACTGGGCACCACCTCTCAAAAACTGCCCTCCTTGAGCTTTGTAGGGGGAAGAATTATGACTTTGTGCCAATGAGCGAATACACACACTTGCATAAATCATCCATCTTGTTTGGCGGTTAATTACTCTTGTTTACCCTCCGAGTAACCTCGGGATGGGGCGGCGCGATAGGAGGGAGCCTGGGAAGAGAAGATAGCACCAAATAGTAATCTGCTGACGGTGTTCATCAGTGTGCAATTTGCAGGAGTAAAAGCACATAGTGGGCTTGAACCTGGGTGTTAGTGAATTAGACAGGGTTGCCTGGGGTCTGAGGACGGCAGCTCCATCAACATCCTGGCCTGACCACTGCTGCTCACTAAGCTGTTCTGGGGTCAGCCGGTGAAGGAGCCATGCTGAGGCAGCCCAGTGCGGGCCAATCAGAAAGCTCCTCAGGATGTACAGCAGGCTCTGATCGTTGCTTATTTCATTATGGGAAAAGCTACATAAATCCACAAAATGGAGAGGAAGAGGCACTGAGGGAATATTTGCATTTCTCCTCTCCTATCGTCTCTCCTCAATGCCCCCCTACCCAACTACCTCTTTCAATCCCTCCCCCATTTAGTGCAGAGTGACTTTAATCATCACTTTCGCAAAAACACATTAAGCTGGTGTGTCCGGAGCTGAAGAGAGGGAGGGGGGTTGAAAAAACACAAAGTGGCGCATTAGATTTGCAATAGTGATGCATCACTCTGGCATTACTTTGGAGATTAAAGAAGGGACGTTGCATTTCAATGGAGTGGTGCTGATGGTTGCCTGATGGATGACTGTCCTCCTGCACTGGAATAAACAGGAAGCACCACTGTCCACCAGGGAGGGAAGTCACACTGACCCTGGAGTTCCCTTCTTTGCTTTACTTCTAGTTTATTCTCCCTCTAAAAACCTCCTTTTTCTTCATCCTTAAACCTCAAAGCCTTTTAACCCCAATCTAAAAACACCTCTACAATGAAAGATATTTATGCAGCTGTTTGATCATGTTCCCAAGTCAAAAACAACACCTCCTTTGTAGGAGGAGATAATACTGTGAAGTGGATTGCATACATTAAACTTAAGCCAACACTCAACATGACTTTGCCTGTTCTTTGTGTTACTGCATCTGTATGAAAGGATGGATGTAAAGTGCTTGAGAGCTTAGGACGAGCAGGACGAGACTGAGAGGAGAGCTTAAAGAAACAGAAGAAAAAAACTGAAGGGCATAAACAGGGGGTCTTTCGCACTAGGCTCATTGGGGGCAGGTTCAATATTGAGACAGAAAGCTTTATAAACAGAGAAGAAAGAGGAAGAGTAGGATGTGTGGTTATAGGGAGTCCCCAGGAAACAAAATGACAACAAGTATTTTGCTCTACAGTCTCAGAGAAACAGAATCACAGTCAGTCAGTCCAAGGGTAAAGCCCACCAGCAGCCTGACCCAGAGGGTGAGCTTTCCAGTTAATATGTTTATCCAAATCCATGGACCAGGGTTCACCCTGGCACCCAGCTCTGGTTGCTGTGAGCTTGTGGAGGGCAAGCAAATGCCCCTAAGCTCATGCCCATCCCCATGCCCACACCTTGGGACAGAGAGCCATCAAAGTTAAAGTCCATGCTCTCATTTTCCATAAAGTCATTGAGCAGGATGGAGTCTACATCACAGTCCAGGCTATTAGGTATGTTCTCCATCTCCAGGTTGGCAGCCATTCGACTGTGAGAGTTGTGCTGCTGTCCCTGGTAACCAGCATTCCCCTGCTGGTGGTTGTTGTGGTAGTAGCCATGCCAGGAGTTGGTCATACCCTGATGGTGAGCTCCTGGGTATGGTTGATGACGGGGGTGAGGCGCAGATGCCAGGCGACAGGGATCCTGGGGAACGTCCATAACCCCAGCAGGGTTGGGGGGCAGGGATGGCGATGTTGGAAGGTGGGGTCTGGGCCCATAGTGGTTGGAGGTTTTGAGACTATAGGGCTGCAGGATGTCAGTGCTAACCCGTGGGGAGAGAGCCTGTGGGGGAGGACCACCGGGCATGGGGTTGTGGGTGTGCATGTGACTCTGGCTGGAGCGAGGGTTGTGATCATGGCTGGGGTTAACTTTATTCCTGTGACCATGCTCATGATAGTCATGGGTATGGTGGGGCTTGTGGCTGTGGCTGTATTCGAGGCTGGCTTGGTGTTTGTGACCCTGATTGTGGTTCTGATGGTGGGTTGTGTTCTGATCATGGACTGAGCCATGGCCATTGTGTAGACTGGAATTGTGAGGATGCTCTTGGCTGTGATTGTGGCTGCGATTCTGATTGTGGTTGTGCTGGTTGTGAACACCATTGGTTCCCTGTGTTATTAGTGTAAGTGTTTCCCGTCCTTGGCCTAGTACTGTGTCTTTGTTACAGTATGAAGGACCCCCGGTGAGTAGACTCTGCAGGGCGTTGTTCTCTGAGTAGCCTCTCATTGGGCGCTGGAAGCTGACTGGCTTGTTCTCCTGGATGGTTTCCATGGGAGTGTGATGCCTGAGCATCCCCAGGGAAGGCTGTCCATACATGGGCCCGCAGTAAGAACCCTCCGCCTTGGGTCCAGGCACATAGGGATAACCGTTGCATTTGATTGGTGGTGGCTGGGGGTAGCCACTCTCATCGAGACTGATAGCACCAGTCAGATCAGTCAGCTGGGGCAGCTCCACAGTGGGGCAGTGCCCCCCAGTGCCTAGGGCTGGGGAACGGGTGCTGGTAGGGCTGGGGTACAATCTAGGGGAAGCTGAACAGGACAACCCACCCTCCTCTGGTTCATCTGCCTCTGCCTCAGCCAAGATCGGGGACAGACAGCCACTCAACGTGGAGGCAGAGGAGGAGGTGCGGGAATGGAGATCCGTCCAGGTGTCATACTCCTCACCCCCAATGCCCACACCTCCTTTACCTGCTGGACTGCCATGCTCTGGGGAGCCTTGCAATGCTGGTCCACCCCCCTGACCTTGTCCCCTTCCAAGGCCTATAGCCCCTGCTCTCTTCCGGCTGATGCGACCTTTAGTCTTCAGGTAGCGAGTCCCATTGTCTACAGAGGCTGCACGTCGTCTGGGTCCTTTTCCCATCTTCCCACCCTCTGGGTTCAGCATCCACCAAGAACTCTTCCCTGTCCCTTCATTTTGCACCCGTATGAAGCGACTGTGTAGTGACAGGTTGTGTCTGATCGAGTTCTGCAACAAGAGAGAAAATTGGGAAAGAAGAGTGGGGGG